CTGTGTAAAAAGTTTGGGGACGCCTGCACTAGACAATGATTTGAAGAAATATGCACCCTTCTAGCATACTGGGCTCCAAATTTACCAAATTACATTTATTTACTTCAGAGGTAACTGTGTTGTCTCATTCCAGGCAGCTAGCAAATATAATATACTTGCTAAGAGTGACCCAACTACTCCCTTTACCCTTCCTAATTTTATCTTCAAAACCAAAAGAAAGGAGAATAGTTAATGGCACATACAATCCATTTTTAAGTGCAGATGCATCTCCAAGTCCATTTTGTGAATATTCAATGAGTAGTTAGAAGTCAGATGATATCCATTCCCCCAAATATTCCCCCAAAACTATAAAATCGAAGTCTCATCTCCCTAAAATGCATAAAACCAAGCTGTGCCCGGACCACCTTGGGCCCATGTTGTCAGGAGCTCCTGAGGCTTTTTCATGGGTACGTGTCCTTAACCTCGGCAAAATAAACTTTCTAAATTGACTGAGACCTGTCTCAGATATTTGGGGATCACAGAAATAATATGGTTTTTACATACAAATAATCAAGCACACAAAAAAAATCAGCGTTTTGTTGCATCTCTTTCCTGCCCTACCTCTTCAAAACCAAAAGAAAGGAGAATAGTTAATGGCACATACAATCCATTTTTAAGTGCAGATGCATCTCCAAGTCCATTTTGTGAATATTCAATGAGTAGTTAGAAGTCAGATGATATCCATTCCCCCAAATATTCCCCCAAAACTATAAAATCCCTAATTATACCTCTTCTAGACATTTGTACATGTTCTTTCCCTCCAAACTGGACACCACTGAACACAAAAGCACACACTAAAAACAAAGATTAGTCAGTTTTGTCATGCCTGATGATTTTCATCTTTTTCTAACAGAAGTCACACACTGTGACCCAGGATCATTTTTAGCAGTGTGCTTTTTAAAAAGCATTTTGAATTTGTATGCCCTGAAGTGGTGGGTGTACTTTCCATTCCAGCTGTTAGCTACCTGGGCCTTGAAAGTAATTGTGTTTGTTCTCCTAGAAATTATTTTAAGCTTATGAGATTTGTGCTTATAGTTAATACCAATGCACTTTCATTTTCCATTTTCCACTTAGTTGGTGTTTAAAAAGACTAAAAATGAAATAAAATATTGAAATATTTTTATAAACATGGCTGTTTACAGATTCAGTGCTGAGATCAGGACTTACTACTTGACAGGCAGATGACTACTGAAAACTCAAATTATTTCTTTTGTTGGCTAGTGTTTGAAAGTCTACATTCAAAATGTTAAGATTGGGTTATCAATATACTGTATAATGAACAAATACAAGCTGTCAGAAGGTAAATTTTTAAAAGTTGAAAACAACCTAGTCACTAGCTTAATGGTAATTATTGTCTGGGTTTGAATCTTAGTTCAGTCTTGCTCTTTTGCTTGGAAACACCTTTGAGTCCCATACTCAGGCCCTCACTATGAGGGAGTGGGTGGGAGAGCACTGCTTTCTTAACCCTAGCCTTTAAGAGAAGCTTCAACAGCCACACTTGGTGACCTTGACACATGTTTCCTCAGTTGGGGGCATGGTGGTCTGGTGCCTGACAGTTCCTGAGAAAGTTAAATCAGCTTGGATAGTGTTTCAGTCCATTTTCACACTGCTATAAAGAACTACCCAGGACTGGGTAATTTATAAAGAAAAGAGGTTTAATTGATTAACAGTTCCACATGACTGGGGAGGCCTCAGGAAACTTACAATCATGGTGGAAGGTGAAGGGTAAGCCAGGCACCTCTTACCCGGTGGCAGGCAAAAAGAACATGAAGGAGGAAGTGCCACTTTAAAAACCATCAGATCTCATGAGAACTCATTCACTATCATGAGAACAGCATGAGGGAAACTGCTCCCATGATCCAATCACCTTTCACCAGGTCTCTCCCCTGACACGTGGGGATTATAATTTGAGATGAGATTCAGGTGGAGCCACAGAGAGCCAAACCATATCATTTTGCCTCTGTTCCCTCCCAAATCTCATGTTCTTCTCACATTTCAAAACATAGTCATGGCTTCCCAGCAGTCTCCCAAAGTCTTAACTCATTCCAGCATTAACCCAAAAGTCTAAATCCAAAGTCTCATCTGAGACAAGGCTAGTCCCTTCCACCTATGAGCCTGTAAAATGAAAAGCAATTTAGTTACTTCCAAGATACAATGGAGGTAAAGGGATTGGGTAAATGTTCTTATTCCAAATGAGAGAAACTGGCCAAAACAAAGGGGCCCTAGACCTCATGCAATTCCAAAACCAGGTGGGGCAGTCATTAAATCTTAAAACTCCAAAAATTTTGGTTCCATGTCTCACATTCAGGGCATGCTGATGCAAAAGGTGGGCTCCTATGGCGTTGGGGAGCTCTGCCCTGTGGTTTTTTTCCATGTGCCAGGAAAAGCCACAGGCACTCAATGCCAGCCCATGAAAGCATCCAGCTCCCACAGATGCTTTCATAGGCTGGCACTGAGTGCCTGCGGCTTTTCTAGCCACGTGGTGCAAGCTATTGGTGAGCTACCATTCTGGAGTCTGGAGGACTATGGCCCTTTTCTCACAACTCCCCTAGGCAGTGCCCCAGTGGGAACTCTTGTGTGGGGGCTCCAGCGTCACATTTCCCCTCTGCATTGCCCTAGTGGAGGATCTTCATTAGAGATTCAACCTGCAGCAGACTTCTGCCTAGACATTCAGGCATTTCCTTACAGCCTCTGAAATCTAGGTGGAGGTTTCCAAAGCTCAACTCTTGTCATTTGTACACCTGTAGGCTCAACACCATGTAGAACCTGCCAAGGCTTGGGGCCTTCCCCCTCTCAAGCAACAGTTCAAGCTGTACCTTGGCCTCCTTTAGCAGTTGGAGCTGGAGTGTCTGGGAAGCAGGGCATCAAGTACTAAGCTGCACAGAGGAGCAGGGCCCTGGGCCTGTGATGCCTTGAAGATCTCTGATATGCCCCAGAGACATTTTCCCCATTGTTTTGGCTATTAACATTTGGCCCTTTGTCATTTATGCAAATTTCTGTGGCTGGCTTGAATTTCTCCCCAGAAAATGAGTTTTTCTTTTCTACCTAATGGTCAGGCTGCAAATTTTCTCAACTTTTATGTTCTGCTTCCCTTTTAAATAAAAGTTTCAGTATCAGATAATCTCTTTGTGAATGCATGTAACTGAATGCTTTCAGAATCAGCCATGTTACGTCTTGAACACTTTGCTGCTTAGAAATGTCTTTTGCCAGATACCCTAAACCATATCTCTTAAGTTCGAAGTTCCACAGATCTCTAGGGCAGAGGCACAATGCTACCAGTTTCGTTGCTAAAGCATAACATAAGTGACCTTTACTCCAGTTTCCAGTAAGTTCCTCATCTCCAGCTGGGACCACCTCAGTCTGGACTTTGTTGTCCATATCACTATCAGCATTTTGGTCAAAATCATTCAGCAAGTCTCTAGGAAGTTCCACAGTTTTCCATGTCTTCCTGTCTTCTTCTGAGTCCTCCAACTGTTCCACCAACCTCTGCCTGTTGCTCAGTTCCAAAATTGTTTCCACATATTCAGGTTATCTTTATAATAATATACCACTCTGCCAGTGCCAATTCTCTGTATTAGTCTATTTTTACACTGCTATAAAGAGCTACCCACGACTGGGTAATCTATAAAGAAGAGAGGTTTAATTGACTCACCATTCCACATGGCTGAGGAAGCCTCAGGAAACTTACAATCATGATGGAAGGTGAAGGCACATCTTACATGGTGGTGGGTGAGAAAGGCAGTGATGGAGGAAGAGCCGCTTTAAAAATCATCAGATATTGTGAGAATTCACTCACTATCATGAGAACAACATGGAGGGCATCACCCCCATGATCCAATCACCTCCCGTCATGTCCTTCCTTCGACATGTGGAGATTACAATTTGAGATGAGATTTGGGTGGAGACACAGAGCCAAATCATACCTAGTAGCGACTAAGTAGTACCAACCCTCCTGGCCTCTGTAGGATAAAGGTATGTGAGTCTGGGGACTAGGTATGTTGATCTGGGACACTATGTAAGAGATTCTGCCCATGAGGGTTATTTGCCAAGGCCAAAAGACCCTCAGTTGTAAGTAGCCCTGGGATAAAGGTGAGGTGAGGTCAGGACTGCCCAGCAAAGAGGAGTCAATGTTGGAGAGGTCTAGCAGAGGAACTTCTGAATAAGCCATAGGGTAGGATCAACTTTGAACATCTGTTAGTACTTCAGTATACAAAGCAAAGAACTTTGCTGCTCCCTTGCCTTTTGTCTGCTGCTACACCACCCCATTCCATACCAAACCTGGAGAAGGCAGAAATGGAGATAAGAGGGAAGGAAAACAGCCAACTATGGCTTTCTAGTTACTAAAGAAGGTAGGTGGACATCTGCAGTCTGCCATAGCCGGATATAGATGAGGGCATATCTCATTTGTGATTGAAGATTGACAGTTGGCTATTATATTCGCATTTATGAATTGGGACTATGACTATGACTCAATGGGCTGTTAGATTTTGTATTACCTAAGAGAGATGAAAAAAGGTTATGGGGCTGCTCAGGTTTTCTTTCAGAAGCCTAAGAAGGAATAGTTTCCACTAAGTCGATTTGATAGGACATGAGAGACAAAAGTAAAATTGCAATTTGATAGCACCTCACAGATTGTCATTATTCAATATATTTTTTGTGTGTGTGCGTATATGTGTATGTATACCAAACACACACACACACACACACACACACACGTATGTGTGTGTGTATATATATATACACATATATATATATATATACACACATATATATATATATACACACATATATATATATATATAAAACAGATACATATGTACGAGATATATATGTTGTATAGCGGTTTCTTAGTTGAATTTACATTTTAAGCCAAACATTTAATACTTTTAAAGATTAGCTCTACTAGGAACATACAATTAAGATAGCAATTTTAGTAATTGAAAGATAAAATACAACAGTACCTTGTTATGATGAAGCCATAAGTATTTTAATTTTTTAAACCTAGAAAGATCAATGACCTCTGTCAGTTCCCTGGGAAGAAAAAAAAAGTGAAATTAGCAACAATTAGCTCACTCATAGGTAAGGCTGGGCACGTGGTTGGTAAGGCTGGGCATGTATTTAGTAAGGCTTGGGAGTAATTAGAAAGGCTTCTCTCTCTTTGTCTTTTCAAAATTATTGGCATACTCACCTGCTTATTTCAGAAACTATCATTATAACTTCATTCATGTGGATTACGGTTTTGTCAGCTAGTTAAAGCTAATACTTAAGGGATAACACTTTATCACATTAGCAAAAAGGTACACCTCATTGTGACTGAATTTATTGGAATCTTACTTCAAAACAAGTTTTACTGGGGAGAGGACAAAGGAAAAAGGTGAAGGTGATACTGGACTTTCAAGTAAATGTGGGAAACGTAGCTGGATCCTGCTTCAATATTGTCTGTGGGGTTATTACTGTAGAGCAATAATCTTGAAGTTTTTGGCCAGACTGGACTCAGATGGAAATTGCAGGACACCAAGAGACAGACACTGTGGGAAATGCTTTATTGTCACTTTATTTATTAATTATGGGATTAAAATATTACCCACTTTTCTTGAACTCTATGAGACTCCACCTGTCCAAGTCGTCTTGGTTCTTGCTGCTAAGGCAGCTCAGTCATCAAAGGGGCAGATGTGGGTTGGGGAGAGGGCACTGTCTGAGGATAGTTGGTCATTCGATGATGTGGCCTGGAGTAGTTGGATCCCCTATTTCTCAGGGCAGAAATTGTGGAACCCAAGTCTATACATATATGTATGTATCTGTTTACTTATCAAATGCTTCTAGATCACATATTGTGTGCCAGGTACTTTTCAAAGCACAAAAATATCAATATTTATTATTATTACACATATTAATTCATTTATGGTAATAATCTATCACAATTATTTTTAATCTTGAGACAGATTAGAAGGACTAATATTTTTCTAATTTTTATAAAAACATACATTTTTTTGAAAGCATGCTAACATTTCTAAACAAAATAAACCTTTTGTCACCAACTTTTTATATTGAAAAATGTCAAACCTAAGAAAAGATAAATAGTATAATGAGCACTTGTGTAACCATCATAATTTTCAACATATTGTCACATGCTCATTCTATCTATCTAGTTTACATATTTATTGGTTGGTAATTTTCTTGGTGAATCATTTGAAGATAAAGTTGCAGGCTTATTGCAGATGTCTCAACCTAGGGAGTTCAGCATGTGTATCTCACATATCAGAGCATTGTCCTCAGTAACCACATTACCCTCCTCACACCTAAGAAGATGAAATTGAATTCAGTAATATAATCTAATATGCCATGCATATTTAAAATTTCTCTGTTGATCCTGCATTTCTTTTGGTTTGTTTAAATCTTGTATCCTATCAACATTCATGCATTGTATTTTGGGGTGGGATAACCTTCTAGTCTTTTTAAAGGTAGTCACTTTCTTTTCTTTTTCTCCCTTAACATCAGCTTTTTGGGCTGGGCACCATGGCTCACGCTTGTAATCCCAGCACTTTGGGAGGCCAAGATGGGTGGATCACCTAAGGTCAAGAGTTTGAGACCAGCCTGGCCAACATGGTGAAACACCATCTCTATTAAAACTACAAAAACTAGATAGGCATGGTGGCATGCACCTGTAATCACAGCTGTTTGGGAGGCTGAGGCAGGAGAATCACTTGAACCCAGCAGATGGGGCTTGCAGTGAACCAAGATCATGCCATTGTACTCCAGCATGGGCGAGAAGACCAAAACTCCATCTTAAAACAAAACAAAACAACAACCAAAAGATATTAGCTTTTTGGAGAGTCCAGTATAATTCTCTTGTAGAATGTCTCACATTATTGACTTTTTAATTATTTCCCAATGTTCAAATGCAAGGAAGATTATTCCTAGTTCTCATTTACATGGGTGGTAATTAATGAATCATGTAAGGATGCAAATGATGTCAGTCTGTCCCACTCTTGATGAATCTAAATTCAGTCATTTGGTTAAGATGGTATCTGCCAGTTCTCTCCACTGTAAAAGTACAAATTTTATCATTGGAAAGTCTTTCATGAGGTGAATATCTGAGATCATGTGTATATCTTGTTCCCTGACAACTCTTTACTCAATAGCTTTAGCTTTCCTTGATGATCCTAACCTGAGCCAGTAGATTTGGGATTATAAAATGATTTTTTAATGTTCTTATTCTTTTTACATTTATTAGCTACTATTCTTCTGTAATGAACATCTGTCCCCTCCTCTTCTTTCTCACTCATTCTCCTTCTCATCTTCCCTGAATTTTCAAGAGGTTTTTCTTAATCCTTTATCGCTTAAAACAATTATCAAATTCTCCCTTTATAAAAGACTTTTCAAGCAGAATCTTGTGTCTCTCTAATATGTACCATTAGTTTCTTAGCACTTCCCTGGTACAACGAAATATTTCAGACTCTTCCAAAGCAACTTATTATTTTTAGATAGGGTCTGACTCTCTTGCCTAGGCTGGAGTACAGTGGCTCGATCTCAGCTCACTGCAACCTCTACCTCCCAGGTTCAAGTGATCCTCCCACTTCAGCCTGCCAAGTAGCTGGGACCACAGGTATATGTCACCACATCTGGCTAATTTTTGTAGAGATGGGATTTCACATGTTGGCCAGACTGGTCTCAAACTCCTGGTCTCAGGTGATTCACCTGTCTTGGCCTCCCAAAGAGTTGGGATTACAGGCATAAGCCACCTTGTGTGTCCTCAAAGCAACTTGTAGTAAGAAAGTTGCACAAATAATAATACATTCTCCTCTCTCACTGTAGATATGTAGCTTATTTCAGGGAAAGAGTACTTGGACCTTGGGGTACCCTAATATTGCAATGGGCAATAGTAAGAGTATGTTAACTTCATCTGTTCTCATGATAAATAGTAAAGAAATCATTACATGGCTACATTAGAGTATCTAAGGCCCCACTCAGAGGATTTCCCATAAAAGATTCTTATTTTATTTTATTTTTTGAAACTGAATCTTGCTCTGTCACCCAGGCTGGAGTGCAGTGACATGATCTCAGCTCACTGCAACCTCCGCCTCCCAGGTTCAAGCAATTCCTGTGCCTCAGCCTCATGAGTAGCTGGGATTACAGGCATGCACCACTATGCTCAACTAATTTTTGTGTTTTTAGCAGAGACAGGGTTTCACCATGTTGGCCAGGATGGTCTTCAACTCGTGACCTCAAGTGATCCACCTGCTTTGGCCTCCTAAATAGCTAGGATTATAGGAGTGAGCCACTGTGCCCACCCCCAAAGTTATTTTAATACACTAATATGTTAAAGTATAAACTGTGTTAAGTTACTTTCGTTAATTTTTTTTGTAGTGGTAATATCAGTGTTGAATTTTCATTGGTTAGGGAATGTAATACATTCAGTTTTTTAAAAATTTAATTAAAAAAATTAACAAGCCCACATCTAACATTATGTAAATTCACTTTTCAATGGTACTTTAACTCCTTCTTGTCAAAAGGGTTTATTCTGCACATAAATGTGTCCTAAATCAATAACGGGCTGTTACACTATGAGGTAAGGCCAGTCAAAGGATAATGAGAGGTAATTCTACTAACGATTACTATGACTCATGCTGACAATAATTTTCAACATCTTGTTACAATGTATGTTCTCCCTGATCACTCAAGAACACATCAATAAGATGCTTTCCATTTCCCAGAGTCAACAGAAACTTATGCAAATAACCCAGTATACCACTGTATTGGCATCTGGACTGGGAAATACTTTTTGTCCACAGCTGGATGAAATGGTAACTCAGTATCCTTAAAATGCAAAAGGTAGTGTAATTCTCACAAGGAGACCATTAATTATCCACTGTCAGGTGGTCAATATCTCAATTTTCCTAGTATTTTAAAGCTATTCTTATTATCTACTGTAAGTAGATGATAGTATATCATCTACTACAGTGATTAGTAGTATACAATTGTCAAAATCATGGAAGATGCAATCTTTTGACCACATGAAGTATTTATTGTTATTGTAAAACTAACTTACCTATATTGAGAGGCTCAAAGCATGACCTTAAATATGTCAGAATGCTCTCCCATACCTGTTCCATACTAAAAAATATATTTTTAAACATTTCAAACTGGTCATCAATTTATTCCTTTACTACCAAGAGATTCAGAGCCATTACAAAGATAAACACTTTTCTCTGTACTGATAAGCATAGATATTTATTTATAATAAAAAGAATATAATAATAAAGGATTTCCCCAAATCACTAGAAATAAAAGTGATTAAAATCATTGATAAATTAAAGCATTTTCTTTATAAGAAGCTGAGTTCCAAAGATTACATATGAGCAAAGATATATCAAACCTATTTAAAAATAATACACAGAATTCAGAGGCATTAAAAAGCACAAAGTAGGTAGACTAAAATGTAGAAATAGGGTCATTGTGCTTAAAATGCAAACTTTAGTGTCACTTATTGGCCAGTGAGAACTATAGTATCAGAATCTAATCTTATTTATAACTCCCTCTTCCTCTGATACCTGGGTTCTATCTCATTCTACTCTATAGAAAAACCCAATTTGTTGTCTACCACCTTGGGGAATTTGAGTGGAATCAAAGTAGGCTGTTGATAAAAGAGAGGCATTTTCCTATTTACCAGTAAAATTGGTATGGGGACTGTTAGAGGTTGTAGTATAATGGGGATTATTATTATAGTATGTGGCATAATGATTCCTAATAATTGTAATAATATTAACTGTACTAATGCTCATTGAGTGCTTACTGTGTACCAGTAACTTGGACTAACTTTTACTAACTCACCTAAGCTTCACAACAACCCTGAGAATGAGGTAGTATAATTACACCCAGGGAATAGGGTTGCCAGATAAAATACAGGATATTGGGCTACATTTGAATTTCAGGGAAACAACAAATTTTCCAACTACTGTGTGAGACATACTATATTAAATAAAATTATATTTGTTATTTCTATGAAATTCAAATTCAACTGGTTGTCCTGTATACTTACTTGTCAAATGTGACAATCCTAACAGGGAGGTTATATGATATACCCAATGTTAGATATAGTGAACCCCAAGTTTCTCTTTGAAGAGTCAGTATGTCAGTTATGTTCAGTTCTCTTATTCTTTAATTCTCCATTTTAAAGTTTGACATCCTTGTCATTTTAGTAAACAACCTTTTCCACCAGTTCTAATCAGTAGTTCACATCTGTTCTCCAGGCCCTCTGCTCTGTCCTGACTCATCCCGGTCACCTGCTCGCTCTGGTCACCTGCTCTGGTCACCTGCTTTGATCCCTGGCTACTCGTTCTGACCTGCCTGTAACTGTTTTTCCCACCAAACAACCCACCCCACCTCTCCAGCTCGTACCCCTGCTCCCTTTAAAATAGCCAGTCAGGAGTAGTCTAGACTGTGCAGTTGCCATGGAATGACATAGCAGTAGGGGCAATCCTCCATAAGGAATAAGTACTCCTTCTTCTCCCTTAATCCAGGTGTGTGTTCGCCATTGTTCCATCTGTGAGCCGCCCCCTTCTATAGAAGAAAATTGCCTTGCTGAGGAAATTTATATTTGAGTGCTACTTCTTTTGCAGCACCAAAAATTTTGCTTTTAACACCAAGATCACCCAGCTAAAAGAGACAAAGCAGCTGGAAGAGACAGAGCTGGGATTCAAGCAGCCTGTTTCCATAATCTTTATTTTTATCAATTTCAGTAACTTGTCTCTCCAACAGAAAACTGTGGACTCCAGCAAGTGGTAAAATAATTGGAGTATGGTTGCCTACCCAGTCCTTGAGGGGAAAAAAATCAAAACATTTGAATCTATGAAACATTATAACATGATCATGATAACTTTTTCTGTTAAGTACACTTACTTTTTAGAAAGGAACAGCTCAAAGACATCATCGTCCCTCTTGTGGCCACATATCTTTAGCTGATCTTCAACTGCCTGATAACATATAATTAATCTGTCAAACTACATTCCAATGAACAAAAATGCTGAGGCATTTGCAGTCAATAACAATAATGTCTACAAGAAGATCAAAAGAAAGGTGAATATGGAGGTAACCATTCTAAACTGATAAATGCCAACACTATAATTATATATTATTTACTCATCTTTGTGGCTGAATTTCATTACCCTTAATCCTGGGCACAGATGTTTGAATAATTTTAATCAGAGAGAGAAAAATATGTATGTGTACATATACACCAAATACAACTTTTTTATTCTGTATGAGGTAAGGTAATTTGGTCTTTAAATAACTATTCTTAAATGTTTCTTTGATCATGAAGAATTAGTATTTCATAGATTTCCTATATAGAAGTCGGTCAGCATCAGGGTTGGAGATGGAAGAAGTAGGATAAAATGTACATTATTATAGGACATTCTTTTTTGTGCCTTTCATATTATGCTTGGCACGCAGTAAGTTCTCAAAAAATGTAAAATGAATGAATACATGTCATTTTTCTCTGAACAAATGAATAAATACATTTTTCCTTGCTTGGCAACCAACAGTGCTTCATTTTTCATGAGTTGCTAACATACTCACGCTGTGAGAATTTTTGGTGGAGAAGCAACTTTTATTCGCATAGGTTTTGTTTTAAAAATAAAAATTTAGCAACAGCTATTTAAATGCTTTGCTTTTCTTCCTTAAAGTCCTTTGCTAAATTATAAAATAACATTAATAGGCCACATGACCTGAAATAATATGAAAAAAGTAAGGTCTGTCTATAATTTGCCATGAAAAAGAAGAGCTAACAAGATATGACAAAAGTGAAAAGTATAATCATTGTAATTCTAGAATCTGACAAACATTGTAATTATCAGAGTCAAAACAGTCACCAAATTTTTGCTTGGATTCGCTGTGAATGGTGAGGTTATAACTGAATTATAAATATTTCTGAGTGATTTATGAAATTTTGACAGTGGTTTTGCTATTTGGTAGAAGACTTTAACAGGAGTTATCTTTACTGTAACAAACATATTTACAGAAATGAGGAAGGTAGGTATCCTAGTGATGGAGAGCAGCTGCACATTTGTAGTCCTAAACTTCCTTGACTCCTTGTTAAGCAAGCTGAATCTAGGGACTTGGAGCATTCAAAGGCTCAGATGTAGGCATTACCATCACGATGTTTTATTAGCCAGTTACACAAGCTAAACCTGGGGCTTGGAAAAACCCATTGGATTGGGCTTAGACATTCTCATCCGGGTATTTTAACTTAAAGATATCAGCTATCATCCTCTACTATGTACAGTCAGTCACAACTTTGCATAGTGTTTGGGGTGGTTATAGCCTACCTAAAGAATAATTAAAACTTGGCAGCCATCTATTAAAATTATAAATGTGCTTTTAAATTGATCCAGCCATTCTACCTCCAGGACTCAGAAACACACAGGTGCAAACACACAGAAAATGTGATTATCACTGCTTATTTCAGCATACATTTTCTGTGGTTGTGAAATAGTCTCCATTAATTAGAATGCATGTTAAATTGACATGTGATGTCACAATGTAATACTGTGAAGTGGTTTAAAAATACAGAGAGGTGGTCTGATGGCTAATTTTAAACATAAATTTGACTGGACTAGGGGATGCCCAGATAGCAGGTAAAACATTATTTATGGGTGTGTTTCTGAGGATGTGTTTGGAAGAGATTAGCATTAGTATTAGTGGACTCAGTAAAGAAGATCACTCTCGACAATGGGGGGTGGATATCATCCAAGCCACTGAAGGCCCCAATAGAACAGAAAAACAGAGGAATGTGAATTCATTTTTCTTCTGGAGCTAGGACATCCATCTTCTGCCTTTAGACATCAGCATTCCTAGTTCTTAGGTCTTTGAGCTTGGACTAAACGACATTAGTGGCTCTCTCCTGGGCTCCAGATTGCAGACAGCAGATAGTGGGACAGCCTCCATAATCAAGTGAGCCAGTTCCTCATAATAAGCATTTTTCTATGTATCTCTATCTATCCTGTTGTTTTGTTTCTCTGTAGAACTCTAATACAAATAGATATCTAGACATCTAAAGATATCTAAAATATATTTATAAATAGAAAAGTAATTGGCAGTATAATACGTGTAACAATATTTTTGTTAAAAGTCATATTTATCTGTAGGCAAAATGCACACTCTTCAAATTATTAGCCAAAGTCATCACTTGAGATCATGAGGGACTTTCACTTTCTAGGCGATATATATTTTTAGTGATGTTTTAGTATTTTACAATAAGCACATATTAATTTGATAATCAGAAAGTAATGCACATTTTGAAAATTTTAGCCATAGAATGAATATTTAAAGATTTAAATCAAATTTCAAAAAATATGAGGTAAAAGAGAAATGGAATGTCTCAGCATAATATGTAAATCACTATCATAATTATTTATACAAGTTTTTATCACAGCATGTTTCTTTCTAATCAGTAATTTTGCATAAATCTGATACAAAATATTAATATCAAAGTGCCAAGAAACATGAAAATGTGCCAGTTCATATTTCAGTGAATCCGTGGTGGAACAATTCCAGTTCCCAGTCAACACACAATTTCACTAGTCACATGCCCTCATCTAAAGGAATTTAATTAAGTTTGCCAACTTATAGAGGCACAGTTTGTGGTCTCTTAAATAATTACTATAGTAACATCAAAAAAAAACCCCCAGTATCTGCAAAGTACAATAGAGTGAAGCACAGTAGAATGAAGTATGCCTGTACCGTTAGCTTGGACATGCTGGAAGATTTCAGGGCACAACTGACAGTCAGGCTGGGCTTTAAGAGGTGAAGTAAAATTAGAAATGGGATGTTGATGGAAGAGGAGACTAAATGCACAAAACAGAAGAAGCAGAAGAATGTGTAAGGTATATGGGGCTGTACAGCCTTAGGCTGAAGTAAAAGGCATGTGGAAGCCAATTGTGAGAAGTAAATTAAAGGTGGGTTGGGCTCATATTATTTATGCCAACTTTGAAATTTAGGCTCAGAAGTGTGTACTTATTCAGTGTCCAGAGAAAACCTCTTCAGGCCTTGAGAACTCTAACTTAACATCATTTGATTTTAGATAATATATAAACATGTATATGTACATATATATGAAATATATATTCTAGGTAACTATATGGTAAAATTCATGTAAGAAAGTTTAATTCTGTTTTCCCAGGATTTCTATATCAATGCTTTTATACAATATCGAATATCAAGTTATTTCACAAACATGTTTCCTCCTCTGTTGGTGCCCTTGGTTTGTTCAATCACCTAACTCATATGTGGTTCAGCATTGTGCTCACTTCTGGAGCAATAGGAAGGTATTACTGGATTTTGATCTAGAAAAAAACATGTGAGAAAGCTAGGCATCAGGAGGATGACTCTAGCAGTGACATGTATGGGGTCCTGGGGTAGAGTGAGAACTGTAGACAGGAAGCAAGGCTGCCTCTGGAAAATGAAGTCCACCAGCTAATGAGCCTGCCCTAGGGTGGGGGCAAGTGTGAATGAGCAATGAACAGATATGACATGGGGCATGTTTAGGGAGAATGAATGGGAACTGGCAAGTAAATGGAGGCAGAGACTTAGCAGGAGGGAAGCCACAGGTGATGATGATGATGATGTGGTGACTTGATGATGAGAAAGGTGACTAGGAGGGAAGACAGACGCAGCTGAGAAATGCTGAGATTGAGGCCCTGGTGGAAAATACAGGTCAAGGCACCCACCAGAAAGCTGCAAATGTAAATGTGGAGCTCATCAGAGATCTCATCACAGCAGCTGTGCAGATCTGATGAGTCAGTTAACCAGAGGAGAGTGGGTCTAAGGAAGATTATGATGAAGGGTCTACATGGAGAGAAAGGAGAGGGAAGCATGTTGGAAAGGAGACAGAGGAGGAGGGTTATCAAGTGAGGTGGAGGAAAAAAAGGACAGTGGAAGCAGAGGGGCATTTGAAGAAGGTACGTTTTCGATCTAAAGCACTACATTGGCTGCTGGAGGATCTCACTCAGAAAAGGCACTGAATTTGGAGGGAAATTTCAATAGCCTGAAGAGGGGGAAAAGTCAGATTTCAAATTAATTGGTTAACATGAAAGGAAAATAAGAAGAGTTCATGACGGCCGGGCGCGGTGGCTCACGCCTGTAATCCCAGCACTTTGGGAGGCCGAGGCGGGTGGATCACGAGGTCAACAGATCGAGACCATCCTGGCCAACATGGTGAAACCTTATCTCTACTAAAAATACAAAAAATCAGCTGGGCATGGTGGCGCGTGCCTGTAATCCCAGCTACTCAGGAGGCTGAGGCAGGAGAATTGCCTGAACCCAGGAGGCGGAGGTTGCAGTGAGCCGAGATCACGCCATTGCACTCCAGCCTGAATAACAAGAGAGAAACTCCGTCTCAAAAAAAAAAAAAAAAAAATTCATCAGAAAATTGGGATGTGAACAGTTCTAGTGTGGGGAGAACAGCAGCTGCTTCCTCCACCGTCCAATGCCTGAGGATCTAGAATCAAAGGCAAAAAAAGTTTGAAAATGGTAGGATTATTAAATCCTAGAAGAATAAGGTCAATATTAAAACCTACAGAAGAAAATGTCCTCTCTGATGATAAATTCTTATTCCTCCATGCAACACGCAGGCACAAGTTAGGACTTAGTGTGAGGAGCTTTCAATTCATCACAGAACTCTGAGGTTCGTTTAATCAACCCCCCCCCTCCCCACATCACCATTTTGCAGATGAGTCAGAGAACTCCAGAAAACCTTGCTAGCTTGCTAGGTCCTACCTGTCACAATTCTGAGATTATTTTTTCTCACCCAAATATTCTTTTAATCATTATCTTAGCTGCTCTCAACTCTGCTTATAGGGTTCATCAAGTAATGTTTGTTCTTCAAGGTGTGAATTACACTTTCTGGGAACAATATATCAGGGATACACACACACACACACACACACACACACGTTGGAGAATCAGGACTGCAAAATTTACTTAATCTCCATTTCACTTGATCTCCAAAACACCATAATTATATATGCAGCAGACGTTGAGTTGCAAAAGGTATGTGAGCCTATTAGTGTGGATGGGGAAGTCCTCAAACCCCACCCAGTAGAATAGAGACTTCCAGCCCAGGCGGTGCAGAGTGGGGTTTGCCACCGCTCATTGCTGTTCACATCCTAATTTTGTGCTGGACTCTTTGTTTTCCGTTTATGTTAAGCAACCAATTTGAAATCTGACCTATCTCTTCAGGCTACTGAAATTCCCCTCCAAATTCAGTACCTCCCTGGAGTCCTCAAAAGGAGTTGGGGCCCTGGGGCAGGCGGCCTGAGGGGCTGGTGGCCTGGGAAGGCAGGTGCTGCTTACCCGGCGACTGTTCTGTAGGGCGGTTTCGGACGCCCTCCGTAGGCTCCAGCATCTGAAGGCACGGGGCACGGGGATCCGGTCCCAGGACATCAGCACACAGGGGTGGCCAGCGGCAGCGGTGATTAATCCGGCAGCTCCCGCCTGTGACACCGAAGAGAGACTTGACTTGGCGCGCAGCTCATTGTTCTGTTACCAACAGTTACTGCATTCCCGTTGACTGAAAGCCAATCCACAATGGGGAATTTTTGAAGCCAAACACTGACTTCTGTGACGTTTGCGCATATGGCCCTGCAGCACCCACGCTTCTGCCTTGGACACACGCATGTTACCCCTGCGCGCGGTGGATGCCAGGAAGAGAAGGATCAGCTATGTCCGAGGCCAAGAGGAGGTCAGAGCGCCTCAACCACAGTCACCCAGTAATCATCGCTTTGATTCAAGATTTGAATATCAGAAAATTTAGGTTTCTGAAAATCAGATGTGTGTGAGGACTACTGGTCTTATGTTCAGGGTGGGGAGTCGAGGAGGTGCCCTGCAGAGTCTCCGTGGAACTTGAAGCAAAAGGATAAAAGCCAGTACTACTTATCATGTCTCTATTTAAAAGTTTGACATTTTGTTCATCATGGGTGTTATTTGCATACATTTTGATTTTTTAAAAAACATTGCATCAAGATATTTATTTTGATGCCAGGCATGGTGGTTCACGCCTGTAATCCCAGCACTTTGGGAGGCCAAGGCAGACAGATTACAAGGTCAGAAGATCGAGGCCATCCAGGCCAACATGGTGAAACCCCATCTCTGCTAAAAATACTAAATATACAAAATACTAAAAATACAAAAATTAGCGGGGCGTGGTGGCACACACTTGTAATCCCAACTACTTGGGAGGCTGAGGCAGGGGAATCACTTGAACCCAGGATGCAGGGGTTGCAGTAAGGTGACTCTGTCTCAAAAAAAAAAAAAAGGAGAGAAACTATTGTTTAAGTAGTTTCTATCCTAGAAATAAAACTCAAATGAGAGAAATACTCCACTGAGAAGGCATATATAATAATTTATTGGCCCATTTTTGCTGTTGATATATGTTATAGCATTTCAGATATTATTCATGAATATGCTACATAAAAAAATTAAAATGCACAATACTTGTTCAGTTTTCTACATTACACAAATGTGACTTTATAACCATATGCAAAATAGTTTTAAAGAGCATCTTGTAGATGTAAACTAGTCATCAGTTAATTTCTACTAAAATCACATTTAAAATGTTTATCCTTTATTTTTAGCATTTCACCTTATATTAAAAAGGTAATTTAAAAAAACTCTATTCTTGGGAAAGGAACTCAAGACTCATTTATTATAAGGTCTTAACATGTTCCTACTTCAAGAAAAAAATTAACAGATCACAAAGGCTACAATAAAACACATTTAATTATGGAATGTCAAGCATGGAGGTTAATGAAGGCACTTTTTTTTTGATAAAGCCTCCTTCCCAGACATTCTCACATTGGTGACATGAAATTTTTACAAAAGAATTATTCTTTGTAGAGTAAGCAGAGAGAATTTTGCTTCCATGGAGTCGGATTATAGCCTGAGGAATTCAGCCTGAAATTTTTAAAATTCATGTAAAATATGCATTCTTCTTTATAATCAATCTTGTTTTAATATAAAAATAAAGCGGTTCCCCTAACTCTCCTTAAATCTTTGTGTAATATTTACACTGAAGCAAGACACCCTGTGTTTATCCTGTGGCTTTACCTCCCTGGCTTGCTGCCATTGCCTACAGGGGTATGCATTCCCCAGTTTGAAAGCTCAATCATATCATGTATGTGGATTTGGATGAGAAGAAAGAATCCTCTGCTCCAAGTCCGGGCATGTGGGATTTAGTCTCAGCTCTGACATTAACTAGTTGTTGGCTACTTTCAAATCACTTAATGTCTTTGGGCCTCAATTGCTTCAATAGCAAAAGCTAGAAGTTCAGTCCAAAAAATCTTTTATTTAATTAACTCTCCTATACAGGTAATGTGTATTGCTTACAAAGTAAAAGATTCTTCTATTGATATTAAACAGGTTTTTAAGAATAAATTTTCAGTAAAAAAATGTGAGAAAAATATGCATGTGATGGTTATCATTAAAGCTACATAATTTAAAAAAATTCTCTATATATAATTTTTCCTTGAGTAATTCCTATTATCAATCTAGATATTGTTTTTCTAAGTGAGTAAAAAACATGTATTAAATAAAATAACCATTATCACTCATTTTCTACTGTGTAAAATGAGCATAGAATAAACAATATATTGGCCACAATCAATATATATAGTCTTATATCACATGTAAAAAAGATATATCTGGCCAGGCATGGTGGTTCATGCCTATAATTTCAGTACTTTGGAAGCCAGGGCGGGAGAATCACTTGAGGACAGGAGTTCAAGGCTGTGGTGAGCTATGATCACACACTTTACTCCAGCTTGGGCAATGGAGCAAGACCCTGTCTCTAAGAAAAAAAATAAATATTCAAAATTAATAAAAACATACGTTTTTATGATATTCAATGACCAGGTTACCAAAATTTTCATTGTTATAAGTTTAGATAAAATAACATCCCATTTTATTTGATAGCTACAATTCTTTTTTGTTGTTGTTTATGTAAAATGCAAATAACAATGGAATATTGAGGGAAAATTCTCCAGGAGTCTCTCCTGTTATTGTGCATAAGCAAAGCCACTAACTGCCTTTGGTAAGGACTACATTTTCAAGGACATTTGTACAGCAAACAGTTTTTGAAGCTATAATGTCTGCTCACAGCCTTGATAGATATAGTGGTCTATCTTCAGAGCAAAGAGTAGGTGTTTTGTTTTTGTTTTTTTATTCAGCAGCATAATAAAGATAACGTCTCCCTTGCTTATTATAAAGGTAAGCTCAGGCAATTTACTGCCTAGTATAAAAGGTCTGGCTTCCTTAAGTTCAAATTTCCTCTTCTGTAACACAACCCACTCTATGTGCCCATATCATCTGGCCCATTTCACATTGCCCTCTGGAAATTGTGCATAGAATTGGTGGAAATACTAATATTCTGTCTATGCCATTACTGTGAGTAATAAGCTATCCTTTATCTCAGAAGTATCATCTTTTGCCAGCATCGTGAAACTGTGGTAGGCTAACTTTTGCTTCTGTGTATATAGGTAGACATTAAATGAGATTAAACCATATAATTTGTTCTTCATTTTTCATTTTTCTCTTTACCATCTCATGAACCTCCATCTTTTCAAGTCAGTGAACATAGAATTACAAAATCGAATAGTGGCATTATGTACCATTGTAATGTATCTTACAGTTTATTTACTTATTACTCCATTGATAAACATTTATATTGTCCATGTTTTTGCTATGACAAACAATGTTGTAACAGATGTCTTTGCACACTTGGATTACTACTGTTCCAGTAGCTGAAATTCCATCATGAGATTATTGGATCACATATGACAATGCCCCTTTCTGGATAGGGTTATCTTCCTCTATTCAATATCAATTTTGTTGAACTTTGCAATCTAATTGGAGAAATTTTTAATCTCAATGTTTTGTTTTATATTTATTTAGTACAGTTTACTATCTTTCCAAAAGCTTATTGTTCATTTGTACTTTTTTATGTGAATTGTCTTTTCATATTCATTGCTTAACTTTTTATTTTTTATTTATTTATTTTTTTTGAGGAGGAGTTTCGCTCTTGTTACCCGGGCTGGAGTGCAATGGCGTGACCTTGGCTCACCGCAACCTCCGCCTCCTGGGTTCAGGCAATTCTCCTGCCTCAGCCTCCTGAGTAGCTGGGATTACAGGCACGCGCCACCATGCCCAGCTAATTTTTTGTATTTTTAGTAGAGACGGGGTTTCACCATGTTGACCAGGATGGTCTCGATCTCTTGACCTCGTGATCCACCCGCCTCGGCCTCCCAAAGTGCTGGGATTACAGGCTTGAGCCACCACGCCCGGCCTCATTGCTTAACTTTTAACCTCCAAATGCCAATGAATAAAGCCCTGCAAGCTGGATCTATAAAGTGTTTGCCATTTATTTCTTGAAGTCACCAATGAGTGGCCTCAAGTCATCTTGCAGCATCCTGCAAAACTGTCTTCTTTTGCTCTTCTCTTCCTGGCTAATGCCTGCTGCCCTTCAGACTATTGAAATAAACTTCATGTCTCTAACCCCAAGTGCCTTTTGCTAGTCTCTAGGGTCCATGCCCTGGATACTATGACCTGATGTTCTAAGTATCAACTTTTTTTTTTTTTTTGAGTTATTAGAGTGGTGATGGGTTGCAAGCTGATAGGAGAAGCACTGTCTTACTACAAACCCACGCGACACTTTGCCATCAAAGTTCTAAAGAAACACAGCTTACATGCAGCTTTTTTCTTAAGCTCTTTCAGGAAAGCAGCCACTTCCATTTCTTCCATATGCACTTCATCTCTTTCAAAATTTGCACACAATCTCTCAAATATCTACCTTTATAGGAACAGAAACTGGTTCAGATTTGTAAACATTCCTACACTGGCTGGAAAAGCTATATTTCTGTAGACACAACTTCAGCTTAACTAAAGTAATAACAATAATAATAATTTTCAATTCCAAACCAGGACAGTTTTGGTGTGATTTCACATTTTCTCCCAAGAATAATGGGTCTCCATGTCTAAGCTCTGTCCATCCTCATAAACAGCCACCCTTTGCTTATCCTTTGGGTCTAGAGGAGCACATGCCCATCATTTCAGGGCCCTAGGTAAAGAGTGTGAAAAAGATGAGGAGGTGAAATCTCCAGTGAGCACTCCTTCTCCTCCAGTGAGGAGGTCCAAAGCAGACTTTCTAAATCATGGAGCCAGGGACAAAGGAGTCTAGCCTAAAATTAGAGATGGAACAGAATGGAAAAGTCCAATAACTTATAGAAGTTAACTTCCATTATGCCTGAAGCCACTGAAGTTACTAACCCTTTCCTCACTTAACTTAATTTAGACTTGGTGATCATAATTGAAAATTATTCTCTAGCTAAATAAACTAACAGAGAAGTCTTGTGAATGTTAGCAGGAATGTCACATATTATCACACATATGATATGACAGGCAGGCATTTGAAACAAATACTCTAGAAATATATACACACATGC